TTTTCTTTTTTTTGATAATATTTTATTTTTTTTCAAAGTTTAATAATAATTTTGGGTTTTTAAAAAAGGGATTTAAAAAAATTGGGGAAAAAATTTTAAAAAGTTTCCCAAAAAAAGCCCCTTTATTTTCCCTTGCTTTTTTTATGTATTCTTTTTTTATTTGTTTTTTCCCCCCCCTTTTAAAAATTTTTTAAAAATAAAATTTTTTATTTTTTTCCTGCTAAAGGGGCTCGCTTTTTTGGGGCAAAAGTTGTCATCTTTTTTGGGTAATTTTTTTTTGTCGGGAAGCGTGTTTAAAAATTTTTTTGAAATTTTTTCAATTTATTTTTTTATCGTTTTTTTTAATTTTTTTCCGTGCCCCTCCCCCCCATGATCAAAAAATTTACCTTTTTAAAAAATAATCAATTTTTTTTCGATTTAATTTTTTGGGGTTTTTTTTTTTTTTTTAAAAAAAAGTTTTTTTTGGATGTTTATTTTTTTACTAAACTCATTTTTTTACACCCCTTTATCTTGATTCTTGTTTCTTTTTACTTTTTTGGGGAAAAACTATATTTCTCCTTTTTTTTTTTTTGTTTTTTAAGTTTCTAATGTTTTAGAGGGGTTTTTTTCAAAAAGACTAAAAATCGTTTCCAAAGAGCAAAATTTGAATAGTTCAAAAACCCGGGAAAACCGAAGAAAAATATTAAAAGGTTATTAATTGGGGGGGGAAAACAAAACTCCCTGTTTAACCCCAGAAAAAAAAAATATTGTGTAATAATCTTTTCCCTCTTTTAACAGATCATGGACATGTTTTTTTGTACGAAAAAAAGGTGCAAAAAAAACCCGGGAAACTTGTTTTTCACCCCGGGGCCCGGTAGAGAAAAAGTCAACCCAACCTCCCAAGGTACAAAAGGGTGGAAGGGAACCCTGAAGGGGGTGGGAGTGAAAAAGGGTTTCCCGGGAAATGGACCCAGACCCCCCATGACCGTACAAGTAAACCCAAATTTTGGTTGTTTGGGGGGCCTTTTTCTCAAAAAAATCCCCCAAAAAATTTTCCACCGGCCCCCTCCCGTAAAATTTCGGAACATTTGAAAAAAAAGGTGGTAAGTACCGGGATCAGTCTTTTTAAAAACTTCCATGGCGAAAAAAAAAAAAATTTTTTTGAAAAACCTTTCGGTTTTTTAAATGTGGGCAATCACAAATGTGGGATAATTTTTCCCAGTTTTTTTTGCCCGTTTTTTTAAATTTTTTGGGTAAGGTTTTGGGCCCAAAAATTTCCAAAAATCCCTAGTTTTTCCCCCGAGGAAGTGCTTTTTTAAAAAGAGCTTTTCAAAAAAGTTGGGGGCTCCCAACATTTCCAAGACATTCCCATGACCCGGGGTTTTATTTGCAAAAGTTTTAAAAATCGGTTTCCAACGTGGGGCCGTTTTTTGGTCACGTGGGTTGAGATTTTTTTTGTTAAAAAATTTGTCATGTAGGTTTCCCAATTTTACGCTTTAAAATATGTGCCCCAAAAAACTTCTGCAGAAAATATCGTTAAATTTTGCCAACTCCCAACTTGTATGATATTTTTTCAGTAATCTTTTGGGGTTGCAATATCTAATATCCTTTTTTTTTTTTTTTTTTAAGTTTTTAAGAAATAAATTGCGCCCCAAAAACGCCCAAAAAAAATGTTTTCGCTAAAATATAGAAGAAGAAGAATTATTTTTAAGTTTTTTTATATTTGTTTTAGTTTTTTTTTATGGTTGCTGTGATTTTTGTTAAATTAATTGATGTTTTAAAGATTTTTTAAAAGCTTTTGGACTTTTTTTTAAAAGCTTTTAGTTTTTTCTAAAATTTTTATTTCCCGATTTAAATTTCCTAACTCATTGAAATTTCCAAAAATTTTATAACAAAAACTAATTACTTTTCGAAAAAAAAAAACCCTGAAAATTTTTTGGGGGACCCCCAAAGTATTCAAAAGCGGTCTATGAAATATGGTAAAAAAAATAATTTTTCCCCCAAATTTTTTATTAAATTTTGCACCACTATATATGAAATAAACACTAACTACCCGTAATTTCACAAAAACAAAAAGACTATCTGGGGCGTATAGGTGGAGGGAAGAGGGGGACCAAAGGGGCTGTTTTTCTATTTATTTAGCAGAAGGGAAAGGGGGGGGCCCCCTTTCAAACAGGGGATTTTGTCAAGGGGTAAAACAACGCTTACCCTTTTTCTTTGGATATCCAACCTGTGATAAGAACTCCTTGTGGGAAAGGTTAAAATTAATTTTTACTTTGGGTGGGGATATTTTTGGTAAAAATTATTCGTCCAGAAAAAAATAAAACGGGTAAATGATTAGTTACTTAAGGAAAAAATTTTATCCCCGTTTTTTTCCCATTAAGAATAAAATTTTGGGGAAATATATTTTTTTCACTGCTATTCAGCAAACGTGTTTGATTTTTTAAATAACATATCTTTCCCCTCAGGTCAAAAATGTTCCACCTGGAAAAAATAGGTGAAGCTGGATTTACCCGCTCTTAAAGATGCTGAATCCAAAATGCCACCAAAAGAATACGATGATGAAAAACCTTTTAACCACAAGGGTTATTTCCCAAAAAGCCCTGAAGCTATATATGCGATGGGGAAGAAAAATTTTTTTGATTTGGCATCCTTGGTTTACACTACCATCGCGGTAAATAAGTCCCCCTTGAAGACCCCGAGCTGAAACGAATTAAGTTTGGGATTTTCAGAAGCAAGGGGAAAGCCCAACGACAATTCCCCCCATTTTGGAAGTAAAATTTTCTATAAACCATACTTCCCCCAATAAGAGGTTTCCCAAATTACTTTTTCCAGAATTGAAAAGAAGTATAACTTGCATAATTTCCGTAATTTCCATATCGCCTATTTGGCGTTGGCCCCTTTAAATATGGTCAATATTAAATATGGATCATATTATGGGGTAATATTTGGAACTCCATTAAAAAAAGGATTAAAAATATGGGACTAATAAAGTAAGTCCCCTCCTTTTCAATCCCGAAACACCGTGGGGAAGTTAACGGTCCTAAACAGGGGAGAAACACCTGTTACATACTAAATCCTAAAACCAAGTTTAACCTTAAGATGAAAAGGCCCGGGAAAGAAAGGCAAAAACCTGCCGCTTTAGAAAGAAAGCCCCCCAACCTCGGTGCTTCCCTTTTCTCTACTAAAGTCCAATAATGAAAGAAGTAACACCCACGTCAACTGTCTGGAGCTAAAAACCGTAAGACCAGGTACATTATATTTTTTCCAAACCAACAGCAAAATCCAGTAATTTTCGGATTGGTCCCCCACTCTTAATAGTATTTTTTCATTCTTTTTTATAGGTTTGCCGGCCTAAATATTTCCGTTTCAAAATTTGGACCTGAATCCTGTTGGGCCATCATGTCCCGCCCCACACTTTTATGAAAATTTTGCTTTAAATTCCCAATCTTTTCCAATTAAACAGGTATGAAGTTTTTTAATTATTCCAAGCTTCTCGGAGAAAACTATACGAAAGAACCAGAGAAAAATTACAATTTAGAAGAAAACTACTTGAAACGATTTCCCGTTGTTTTTTTTTTACATAAATAATGAACCAAGATTGTTGGGGATATAAAGTTAAAACCAATATATACTTAAGCAACCGTGGGGGGCCAGGGAGGTAGGGGTTTATTTTAATATGCCAAAATTGTACTACGTTGTAAATTTCCCGTTTTTTAATGAACAGCCCATGGGTGCAAACCCGTGCCCTTGACTGCCTGGTGTAAGGGAAGGAATGAAAAAAAAGAAGACAAAAAGTGCCTTCTGTTATCTATTGGTGAAACGGGTCCCCCCCCTTACTATTTTATAATTAAAAACCTTTCTTGAATTTTGAATTGAAATACCCTTACCTGTTTATTTAAGATATTAAACAAAATAGTAAGCAGAAAACCCAAGTTAATCTAATCCGGAAGTGCCACAAAACAATCATACCAACCACCCATTCAAGAAGCTTAGTGGTCCCCCCAATTGGTAAAATCAACCTAATCTTTCGACCCCCTCCCCTCCTACCAGGCCTCGACCTTTTTCCCCCTGGAAGGCCGCCAACAACCGCTTAACTCTCGTAAAAACGAAAGAGGAGGAACCCAGCAAACACCAGAAATCGACTTATTCAATGGGGAATATCCCTTTTTTGAATAACTCCAAATGTGGGAGCGAGTAACTACACATTAGACACATTTGCAGATTTCCCATGTCCGCACAGTCCAGAAACATTGAAGTTCTTCAACAGAAAGCCCCTTCTTTTCTGTCGTTTTTAGCTGAAAATTAGAGGCTGAAACTTCACTTAAATAGTTTGAGAATTTCCCCATCCTCATTCACTATAAGATTTTAAAACCTAACTCCAGGGTTTGTTAGTGTGGCAGAAAATAGTGGCACCATCCATTGTCCCAAAACTCATTGTGACCCACAAAAATTCATTGTCCATCAAAAAACAAACCACTTTTTGAACCCTTTTTTAAGGTGAAATTTTTCTCTTTATTTATTATTTTCACGGTACTTGTTCATGTCCCAAACTATTATAAACCCATTTAAACTGGTTACCCAACCCCAATTTGGCCTTAACTTTTAACAAACTTTGTTAGGTTTTTTTTTGTAAATCAGTCACCAAACGTTTTGCCTTCATGTTCCCCATTTGTAAAGAAACCCCGAGTCCATTTACCCCAAACTTTTAATTTAAGTCCGGTAGATTCCCATGTGCATTGTAACGTTTGCAAAAAATCTGTTTCCACCGACGAAATTGCCCATAGTTCCCCACCACACAGGGGAAATTACATCTGGTGGGATTTGCCCTAACGATTTTATCATTAACCCCAAAATAACTGTTTTTAAAATTCTCATAAACCAACTTCACCACTGACGGAAGTGGGAATCCACAAATTTACGTGTTACGGGAACATCCCCGACGAATAAATGGGATGCAGGTTAAAAAAGAAATACTATAACAGGTAAATAACGAGGTAAGGCTTTAGTATCGCTGTTATTTCAAAATGAAATGCCTCGACACTCTCCAGCGTAAAGCATACTATAAAACGTTGGGCATTATCATTTATACCTTTAATAATGTATCGGTCCCGTTACATTAACTCGGTGGGAAAAGTTTAAAGAAGCTTGTTTGTCGGCTTTTCTTGGAAATTGGGTGGCCCTTGGTTTAAACACATGCTTGGTTGCCTGTCCCCCCCAGGCCCGAAAACGGTCTTCGAGAAACGGATATATTCCTACCATCCGAAAGCAAAAAATTGGTCCCCCCCCATTATTCCCCCTCGGTAATAAACCGCGCAAGTAAAATGCCCGCGCGCTATTAAAAACACCACAGCACTTTTTTGACCAATTCCCTTCGCAATAGCAACGAATGTAAGCCTGTTAAAACAAAGGCTTTTCTCACCCCGGTTGCCAATAAAGTAAACACACCTAATATAAATTTTCAGCGGTTTAGCGGACGGAAAAGCAAAATCCGGATTAAGTATTTTACAACTAAGCCCAGAAAGCAAATGTCCCTTTTTAAAAAGTCAAAGCAAATGGATAATCTGCCCCTAAAAAAAAGGAAATTTTCGTTCCCCCGCTATCCTACAATTCCAGTAATTGGAAATGTTGACCCCTCGTGTTTTTAGAAAATGGGTTACCCCCTTTAGATCCCTGCATTAAAAGAGCATAAAGAAGAATACCTAACCATCAACCCAAATTCTATGTGAGGTTTGGGTTGCCCGAATAAAATATAAATAGGTTTTTTTATCATTAACAGAAATAAACCTAAATTTTGAACCCCCCTTTTCACTATTTAAATATCACTGCCTTGTCCCCTGTGAGACTAAATCAATCAAAAAATATTTCCAGAAAAAATCCGAAAGAGGGGAAAAGCAAAGAGGCACTGGATAACATCGGTCGAACCTTAGCGCGTTAAGGAAGAATTAACTCCAGAAATAGAAGTTGAAATAGGAAAGGGTCCCTGCCCTTGTTAGTTTCAAAAGGCTTAATTGGATTGAATTTGAATTGATTTTGCATTTTATTTTTGCTTTCCTTCCCCGTTATGACGTGTTTTATCCAACTAAATTCCCCCCCCTGAATATATATTGGATTACTGGGACAGTTTTTTTTTGAAACTCTATGTTTCTTAAGAAAGAAAATTTTATTTTATCAATTTGGGGAAACAAAGGGATACCAAACATGCCAAAAGAACAGTTTTTAAGAAGCAGCCAAATGGTTTTGTTACCACGAACCTTGGCAGGTGTTGCCCCACTGGAACTCGGAAGATTTCAAAGCCGAAGGCCCTGGCCACATACGGAGAACAGTCGTTAGATTCATCTACCTCCCAAGCTAAAACCACGCCCCAAATTTTGGCCAAATCAACTCCAATCATTATTTTGAATCGCCCAAGCTGGAAGGTATCCCTTTGGAACATTTTCATACTCCCCTGTTTGGTTCACATTAAAAATTTGTTTGGTTTTTCTTCTAAAAGTCCCTAAAACCCTCTAACCATTTAAAATTAATCAGAGATGCCCCCACGTATCATTACCCTATAAATCCAACCATCCACCCTCCTTCAGGTTTTAAATTACGCAAACGACATGGAATAAGGCCCCCCCTTTTGAGAAAAAAATTCCCCGACAAGAGTACTCAAAATCCCCGTCCGGAAGTAACTCCGATTGATAAAAGGCTGTTATCAAGGAAATGCCCATTTTTTCCAAAAAAGCAAATCCAAGACGTTAACTACAGAATTGCAGACAGTAAGTAGTCGGCCATGGTACACGCACTAATGGGACACAGCTTACCTGTCCAATGATTTGCTTTGATGGGATTCCCCTCCCACTTTTATTTGTGCAAATAGCATCAATCCAATTAATTTTCTAATTCCATGTTATTTAACTCTTTTGATACAGATTATGCATGGTTTTATTCGATCTTGCAGCTAGCATCCAACATTGAAATTATTCACAGGATTTCCTTGCATGGAATACATTTAACCTTCTTTTTAGCCCCATAAAAATTACCAATTAAAAAAAAGAGTATCCGAAATTTTAAAGAATGGTTTTGGGCCAATTTTTTGCTAAATACCACGTGGGGGGTAAAAACATTTAAAACGCTTTTTAAGTTTTTTTTTCTGGTGGTTTTTTTTTACCCCGTTTACCTTGATTTTTAAAAAAAAAAACTTTAAACTGTTTAAAAAAAATATTGGTATTGATTTTTAAAAGACAACAAATGTAAAACCGCAAAAGCCAAAATAAAAAAGAGGTACCCCCAAAAAACCAAAAAAACCCCTTTAAAAATTTAAATTCCCCGCATTTCTTAAAACCCCTTTCCAAGTTTGCGTAACTTTGTTTTTTAAAACAATAAACGCCCCCCCTTTATTAGTAACCGTTTTTTTTTTTTTTTAAAAAATAAAACCCGGGGGCTGGATTAGTTTTTTAACATTTTTAATTTTGAATTTTTCCCAAATAAAAATTAAATTTTTAATTCTCAAATATCGGGTTTTTTATTCCGTAAAAAACTCGAGAATTTTTTGTGTCCCCAAAGTCCCCCCCCTTGGGCCCCCGCCCCCCTTTTTTTTGCAAATGCAAAAATTTTGTTCCCCGCACCGAACAACAAAATTAAAAAAAGCCCTTTTTTAAACCCCCCATGAAATCAAATTGTTTAATGTTTTCCCCCAAATTTTATTGTTCCATTGTTTCCATTTCGTAGAAATCCCGGGGGGAAAGGAAATAGTTTTCCCGAAAGACCGGTAAAGAAAAATGACCCTCCGAAGGGGGGAAAACCTCTTCCCCCCCCCCAAAAGCACCAACTCCCCCCCCAAAGGTTTTTTTCCCACACCCCCCCTTTCCCCCCAAACCCCCCCCAAAGGGGCAAAAAACCCCCCTGCGCTTTCCCCCCCCAAAGAAATGGCCCCTTTTTTTAAAAAAACCCCCCCTCCCCCCCCAAACCCCCCCAAAAAAAACCAACCCCCCCAGCCCACACCCCAAAAAAAAAACCCGACCCCCCCCCCCCAAAACCCCAAAAAAAACCAAAAAGCCCCCCGCCCAAAACCCAAAAAAAACACTAAAGCCCCCCCGGAAAAAAAGCTACAAAAACCGGGGGCCAAAAAAAAGCCCAAACCCCAGCCCCCCCAAGGAAACCAACGCCAACCCCCCCCAAGGAAAAACCCACGCCCCGCCCCCCAAGGGGAAAAACCTTTCCCCACCCCCAAAAAACAGAAGAGGTAAAACCAGCAACACCGGGGGGCTTTTCCCCCTCCCCCCCAAGAGTGCTAGCCTGGTGGGGGGCCCAAAAAACCAGCCCCAAAAACCCTTTTCCCCCCCACCCCCACAAAAAAAGCGCCAAAAAAGCCCAGCTGATGCCTAAACCGGCAAAAACCCCCAAAGCTCTAAACCACGACGCCCCCCCCGGCCCTGCAAAAAACCCCCGGAAAAGCCCCCTGGGAAAAAAACAAAAACCCGGCCCAAAACCCCCCCCGCGCCCGCCAAAAACCCGGCAGCCTGCCCCGGGCCAAAAACGGCCAACCCCCCCCGGGGCCCGCCCCCAAAAACCCCCCAAAAACCCCCAAGCCCGGGGTGCTAAACCGGCAACGCCCCCCAGCTGTCCCAAATCCAGCCCAAGAGTGCCCAAACCCCCCGGGCGGCCCCAAAAAACCCCGAACAAAACCAAAACTGCCCTTTCCACCCCAGCAAAAAAAGCGCAAAAGCCCCCCCCCGAGCCCCCAAAAACCGGCCCCAACGCCCAAAAACGGCTGCTTAAAAACCCACGACCCAACCCCGTCGAAAGCTAAACCCCCCAAAAAGCCCCCCCCGGCTGCTAAAAAAGGCAAAACGCCCAAACCAAAACCCCCCCTAAATCCCGGACCGCCTTTCGATGCTAAAAAAAACCCGGCCCCAAAACCCCCCGCGGCTGCCCCAAAAAAAAGCGACCGGGCCTGGCCGGGAAAATAAACCGGCCAACGCCCCCCTTTTTGCAAAAAACCCGGCCAACGCCCCCCCGGCTGTTTAAACCGGGGAACCCCCGGGAAAAGTTCCCCCCCCTGCTCCCCCCCCACCAAAACAAATTTCCGCTACAAAAGCCCAAAACAATGAATGGGAGGTAAAAGCTTTTTATTTTAAATTGCTTGGGGCCCAAATTCCCCCCCAAAAATCAAAAAGCAAATTTTCCCGGGGAAACCCCGGTTTTTTTTTTTAGGTATTTTTTGTTTTGAAATCTTTTAAAAAACAAATTATTATGAAATTTAAAACCCCCAAATTGGTTTCCACAAATTTTGCGTTTTTAACCAACAATAAAACCCCAGCCCTTGAAATCCGTTTTTACCTTTCGGAATTAGCTAAAACCCTGCCCTCCGTTGATCAAAGTTTTTCTGCCAATCCCTGTGTTCGTTTTGGTTTTTGGATAAATTGTTTACCCAGCTTTTTTTTATTCCTTACCAAAACCCGGCCCCCAAGCACATAAAAAAAACATTACTACAAAATTTTCCCCCCCTTTTCTGGGGGGGGCGTTGGGTTTAAGGAAGTAGCGCCCTAGAGACGGGGCGGATAATTGAAAGAAAACCCCGTTTTTGCCCCCCCTTCAGCCCCCCCACTTTTTAAAAAAGGCCCCATAAAAACCGCACTTTTTGAAAACCCTTACAGGATTAATTCCAGAGAATCTACCGGGGTTTTTAAAAAAAGTCCCCCCCGGGCCCCCCCGACCCAAAAAACAATTTTGAAAAAACCCCTGTCCCCTTCCCCTGAAAATCTTCAAAAATAAATTTTTATCCCCTTTTTTCCCTTTAAATTTTTATCGGCGTAAAAACTTTCCCGGAACCTTTTTACATTGGGGCCCCCTTAATACTCCCCCCCCCCCCCCCCCGTACATTAGTCCCCCAACAAAAAGGCCCCCCATGGGTCCCACACTCCACATAAAAATTTTTTTAATAATCCTGAAAAACTTGTAGTTGTAAAAATGGTGGGGCCATGAAACCCCCATTTTTTGACTTAACCGAAAAAATTTTAAGCCCCTTTTTCTAAAATTTTTTCCTGGAAGCCGTTTGGGAGGCATAATTAAATGTTTAAAAAACCCTTAATTTTTTTTTTTTTTCGATAAAAATTCGGAAATTTTTAAAACCGTATTCGGGAACGCCCCCCGTTTTGGCCCCCCCAAAAAAAATTGAATCCTTTTAAAAAAGTCCCCCCCCGCCCCCCCTAAGTTTTTTTTTTTGTTTAAAAATTGGGGCAAAAAAAAAATTTTCCCCCCAAATTTTTCTCCATTTGATGGTTTCCCATTTACCGAATAAAACTTTTTGAATCCAGTTTTTTTTGGGCGCCCCATTTTCCCCCTTTTCTTCTTGGAAAAAATTTTTTATGAAAAACCCAAAGAAAAAAAAATTCAACGTAAGTGACTTTGAAAACGAGGCAGTTTTAAAAGAAATAAAATATTTTTAAAAAAACAAAATACCAAAGCCCATTTTTCTAATTTTTTGGCCCCTTAGCCCCCCAAATTTTTATACATAAAAAGCGGAAAAATTTTTCCACAAAAAAAAACCTCCCTCGGGTATAAAAATTGTTTTAGTTAGGCAGGAACCTCCCCCCCTTTTTTAAATTAGGAGAAGGGGTAAACAGAAAAAAAAATTTTTCAAAAAATATTTAAAAAGTTACGGGGGGAACGGGGGCCGAAAAGTTTTTTTTTAAAGTTAAAAATACGTTTTTTTGGAATTGACCAATGGGCCCCCCAAAAATTTAAATTCTGGGGATTCAACCCAAGCGCCCGCCGGGGGCACTGGGTATAAAAGCAGTAAATAAAAAATTACCCCTCCTTTAAATTTGGGCCCAATTTTTCCAACGGTTTTTACTTTTTGGTATCCAACAAAAAAATTAAACCCACCCCCCCTTTTCCGTTTTTTGGGGAAGCCCAATAAACGTTTACAATAATTTGCCTTTTAAACTTTGTCCTCCAGCCCCGCCCCCCTTTTTTTTTTTGGTTAAAAAAAATTTTTTTTAGGTTTTTTCCCCAAAAAAAAAAAACCCCCCAGTTTACGGGGTGCCGTTTTGCTCCCTTTTTTTTTTATTTTCCCTCTAGTTTTTTTTTAATTTTTTTTTTTAAAATATTTTTAATGAGTCTGAATTTCCCCGAATGCCCCCAAATTTTTTCGACTGAAAAAAAATTTTCTGTCCCCCTTTTTAAATTGAAAAACCGAAAAAGAAAATTTAAAAACAAAAAAAAAACGACCTTTTTGGTCCCGTTTTTTCTTGTTCGAAAAAAATTTTACCGTGGCCCCAAGATAAAAAATTTTTTCCCCGGGGTTTTACCTTATCGATAGAGCTAAAACCTGCAGTTGTATATTTTGCGATGATACTGGATATTTTATTAATATAATCTCGGTATAGACTGTATAATAACATAAAATGAAATGGTTTTATCGACGGACGACGGTGTCCGCAAGTATTCAGTGTTTTTTTTGATAAACTCCAATGTAAAATGTTTACCAAACTTCACACCATTTTCATGAACACTGTAATAACATATTTCACAATCTCACCGATTATTTGAAATACACTTATTGACGTTGTAACTGCATTGTGATGTTACCCAACGTTTATCCAATATTATCAGAAATAACATAAATAATAAATATTTGTTACTAAAATATGTTTAATTTCAGGTTTAAATGCCCCCAGCTTGGCACCCCAAGAGGTGTAGCATGTTAAAACGAGTAGAACCAACACTTCACTGCTACTGATAACCTACTACCCACTGGACATGTGATCCTCTGTACATTCCAATCCTTTCTGCATAATGAATAATGACTGGTCAAGATAATATCCTGCTTTTTTATTTTGTGGAGAAAAATTCATATGTATTTATATTAAATGCTAATTTTTTTGAAAATATGTCAAGACTACTTACGTCAAAAGTGATGCGAGTATCCATTTTAGTTTTCAATGTGATTTGCATTTTGTTTTTCCACAAATTTTGTATGATACTTGATCGTAACGATATGATACCTGAACTGTAAAGAATTGCCTGTGAGTGTGATATGGAATTTAAATATTGTAAATAACTTTTTATGATCAACATTCAACACTTGATAAATGCTCTAAAACAAACAATTTTTAGTTTTTCATTTGTCACAGTGTTCTAATTGGCTGACAATATGCAGAATAATTCAATAGCAAAGTCAAAAGTTAATTTCCTGAACATTTTAATTTGGCCCAAAATGAAACATTTTGAATAATAACTTAAAAGGACTAATTAGGTCGGTACCGAGAATTTCAGTATTTCTAGTAGGAATGTCAGGGCTACTAAAGTCGTTCTCGAGGATTACAGTATTTAACGAGGTCTAATCGTAATCTTCTTACATCCAACATCGTTCGATGTGATCTGAGCTGTGTAAAGGTAAAATAAAATGGTGATGCATCTGGATTATTACTAGGAATGTCAGGGCTACCCAAATTTTCATCTACAATCTATAAATTTATTGTTATAGAAATGTCGTGGCTATCCGGTGTAAATGTTGGTATGTCATTAAAATTTAAATACTTGCTGGTGCTTTTTGATAAAGTGCAAACTAATAGATATACTGGGTTAGGTGACGAGTTTTTGAAATTGTCGCGTATAATTATATTT